ATGAAGAAGATTTGTGCAGTATGGAAGATACTCTCTTATAATCTAGATCATTATAATGTTTAAATTAACCTTTTTTGTGTCATGGATCCCTTTCAAAGTCTGATGAAACCGATGTACCACATCTCAGAATAATATTTTTAAATGCACAAAATAAAATATGTAGGATTACAAAGGAAACCAATTACACTGAGGTATAGTTGTTTTTGTTTTAAGTTCCCAGACTCCAGGATAAAAATCCCTCATCTAGATAAATATACTGATTTGTTTTATCCATATTAACCTCCACATTTTTGCTTAAGTATATCCAGTACCTAAGAGAAGTACTTGATTTAAAACTGGAGGAACTGAGTTTGAATCTCAAAAGTCCACTACTCATACCTGTGTCACCTGGACAAGTCATTTAACTTTTGTGAGGTCTTTCATGAGCATAGTCCCTTCCAGCTCTAAATCCTATGATACCTTTCAGCATTTCTACTGTCTCTACCACCAGAAGCATCAAATAAACCAATACTGTTATTTCCTTATACTCTTTGTGAAATATCCTTAAAAATAAGTTATTTTATGTCACTATTCTTTCTATATTTTTGAATCATCTTTCTGAAATTTCTTAACTTTTCTTTAACTACTTCTGCCACTGTTTAGTTATTTCAGATTCTTCCTAGAGTTGGGTCTGCTGCCTCCAGAGTTTCTCATTTCTTGGATTATCAGTCCTGACCTGAATCTTCCCCCACCTGCAGGGAAATATATTACTGTCTCTAGGATCTTTACTATATGACACCAGTTCTATTGTATGAGAATATTCCAGAGATCAGAACCTGCAACTCAGAACTCTTGAACACCTACTTTCCAATATCTGTTCTTAATACTGGAACATGCTTTGATCTGCACTATCAAGTAGAACTCCCCACCTAACTTATCTCTACAACTACATCAAAATATTATGGAGAGGGTAGATTTTGTTAAGGATTGATTGAAAGTGTTTTGCAATTGCAAGCAGCTTTAAATAGTAACTATGCCTTTCAGAAGTAAAAACGAACCAATATTCAACAGGGTTATATGTTAGGAGAGAATGGTTCATATTTGTCAAGCACTTAGAGTTTTGTTTAATGTTAGAACATTTCAATAATTTAGTTTTCCATTCATTTGCCATTATATGATTTAAATTTTTTTAATGTAATCCTAAATCTTGAAAATTTCATTCTCCTTCTGGTATAGCCTCAAATACCATCTTATCTAAGAAACTAAACTAAGAGATTTTCTATTCATATGCTATTCAAGAGCTAGGAAATATGGCATATCTACATGCTTCAAGATGTTTCCAGGATCCTTTATAAACAGAAATGAACTCCTGTCTAATGCAGCCTACTCCAGTGCCCCCCTCCTTTTGGACTAAATGGGCCCCTTTTACTGAGGAAGCTGCTAATATGGCACTAGGCTATTAATGGGAAAAGCATTTACTTTAGATTAAGAAGAGTGTAAAGTAGAAAAGGGGCCCTCTATGACTGGCTATTAGGGATGTTAGTTAAATATTTATAATGTCTAAATTAGCATAGTGAAAGCTCAATTCATCAATTTGTTCTGGTCTGTTTGTAAGGGGAAAAAAGAAATAACTCCAAATGCCCCTGAAGAAAGACGCTGCTTCAGTCAATAGAAAGATGACTGAACAATTTATTATGTTTCTGTGGTAAACTTTTTATTTTGATTTTATTTAAAGATACTTGTTGCTGCATCTTACCTTAAAGACCATTTACCACAGTCAATATATGGGAGAGTCATGCATTATTCATTGTTATCCAATGAAAAATTTGCTAAAGGTGCTTCAATGCTGAATATCTGATTGATTAATTGATTGTCTGATAGTTACTTTCAAAAAGAAGACACTAAGAAAAAGAAGCTGGAAGCCAGGGGTCCTGGGTCCTGTCTCTGTTACTAACCAGTTTCTTTCTACAGCTTTAGAAATTATAATTTCCCAATAAGGATGTTTTAGGATTTCCTTGTTAATAATCTGGAAGGAAAACAATAACATCATCTCACCCACACAGAGAGAGAGAGAGAGAGAGAGAGAGAGAGAGAGAGAGTTTAAAAAAAAAACAAAGGTTAAATACTTTATTTCTTCCTCTGTGACTAGACTTCTAGGTCTGCTTAGCATTTGTAAAGGACCAGCCACATTAGCACCTAGATGCTGAATAATAAATGTTTGTATTTGTAATGATTTCAATCACTGTCATTGTTACTTCTTAGATCATTTTACATGGCAAAGAGAAGCACAGAGCTGGCACATACAGACTGAGCTAAGTTGGACTGAAGCTCCAGATGCAGTTGTCCACCAGTAGGTAGGTAACTTGAGCAGAATACCATCCCTCAAATTGCATTCTAATCTCTAGGATTTCCTTACTTGTACAAGGAGACTAGGACAGAATTTCTCAGAGGACCCTATAGGATTGATTGCTTGACTTGGCTGATTCTCTTAACAGAGGCTTTCTTGCTCGGCTTTCACTGCTATGGCTTCCATACATTTTAACAGTAGACAGTCCTTTACTGTTCAAGATTGTGCTCCCTTGCCCAAAATAACCTTTCCCTGTGGATGTTGGGGCGGGGGGGGGGGGCGGGGGGCAGTGGCACAGACAGACTGTTTTCTTCCGTGTGTGTGTATGTGGCATCCAATAACAAGAATCTGTATTGATTCGTCTATCGGCAGGTGCATCTAATTCCCATTCTTTCACCCCCCCCCCCACTTCCTTTTTCACCTCTGTCATTTCTTTTCTCTATAAGCTGGCCTTGTGGAAAGATGTCTGTAGGGAAAGGGTTAAGGGTTTTCTGGTAGAAATGACCCAACAGAAGGGGCTCGGCCTGGAGCTGAAATCTAAGTGCTAATGACCGCTGGCCTTCACCCCGCTGCTGTCCACCGGGCTGAGCCCCGGCCTCGGAAGGCTCCGGGGGGCACAGCGTTCTGCATTTAACATTTGAACTTCTCCTATCCGAGGCAGCAGGACGTTTTGTCCTAGGGTCGCTGACCCCGGACTCCCCCATCAGCTGCCTTGAAACCTTAATTGAATGACAGATGGTCATCTTAGGGGAGCCAGAAGCTCCGGGCGGCCAGAGATCGCCTGCAGAGGAGGGGAGGGCTGCCCTTCCCAATCCCAGCGCCCCTCAGGTCAAGCCCGCTGAGCTTCGGCCACCAGAGCATCTCCGGGGGAGTAGTTAGGAGCTCTGGCTAAAGAGGTCAGGAAGATTGAAGCCCAGAGGACATGAGGGCAGGAAGGAAAGATAAAGATGACCCAGCAATCTTTCTTGCCCAGAGAACTCCAAAGATCAGAAGGGTGGCAACAATAGGTTCTCACCTCTCTCAGGAGTAATTAGGACTCTCCCCAAGACTGACTGGGCCTGAAACAGTGCCAAAACAGTTAAGTGGTTCCTGAGTCCTGTGGTGCCTTGTCGCCCTCAGAGGTTCAAACATTGCTGCCCTGCAAAGTGGCCTAACCCAGCCACTAGACACAAAGCTTCCATTGTAAGCGGGTCCCAGGACAGCCCCTGGGGTTGTCCAGTGCCAGCCAGTAAGCACCACGACCTCGCCTCTTTCCTTCAATGTCCAGCCTGGTAGGAGAGGAAGAATGCTACCGAGGGACTATTAGAAAGGAAAGGAAAGGAAAGGGCAGAAAATCCCGTAAACATGAGTCAGGCCAAGTCAAAAAGCCCCTTCACACTCTCTAGCACGGCACTGGCCCATAGCACAGAATGCACAACGTCCAAGTGTAATGCCCTGCCCTCCTGGCCTCCAGCTGCTGCTGGGCCTACAAGCCTGGATTGTTGAAGACCCAGAGCTCAGGAGGCTTGGAGCCCAGGCCTGGGGAGCGCAAGACCGAAGTCACAGCAAAGGGAGTCTCTCCATCTCCAGAGATCTGGGCTTTAGGATGACCTCAGGGCTGATAGCTGCGGCAAGGGGAGGCGCTTCTCGAAAGACTGAAAGGGGCAAAGGAAGCAGAGAATGAGAAGCAGAGGCCAAAAGCAAATAGGGGCCCAGGTACTGCGCCATAGAGTCCAGGGAGCTTCAGTTGGACGTACTGATTTTACTAGGAAGTGAAAATGACCGGGGCTCCAGGAGGTAGAAAATCCAGTCCCCGGTGCAGCAAGATTTTCGGGCCGGATCGTCGCGGGGGCGGGAATAAGGGAGGGAGGCTGGCTGCCACAGCTCTGGGAGGGGCTCAGACCCCTGGGTGCAAGTAGCGCTCCCCCGGCCGCCCGCACTCTAGTGTCCTATTTCTTTAAAATAAAAGCTGCAAGCCCTACAATTACTGGGATTACAGTGAGAGGGTATTGATCTGCAGCCGGCATTGTAGGATCAGGCGGGCAGGCGGATGCAGACACCCCCCACTCCCACCTCCCGCTGACGCCTAGTCCTGAAAAGGGCTAAAAAACCGTTTATAAATGTTTGATTTCAGACGCAGCACCAACACCTGCTGCAGAAGAATTACCCCCGCCAGTGGTGATACAGTACCCCACCTTTTCCTATGTCCCCCATTCCTCACCCCTCCTCCTCCCACCTTTGACCACCAGAACATAGCGCCAAGGACGAAACTACCTTAATCTTTTTTTCTTTTCCTTTTTTTTTTAATTACAGACTCATAATATACACATAAGCAAAAAAAAAAAAAAATGAAAAGCGAGAGGGGGAACGGAGGCCCAGCGAAGGCGGTAAATGCAGCCCTAATGCACAGATAGCTGACATCAACTTCCGTTAGCCAGCTCCTCGGGATCGAACCTTTCGATTGTAACTGGGACAATTTGCATAGTGATTCCCTTTCATAGCTTTCCCAGGTCCTTAACAAGCCCAGGCAGCTATTCAAATGCAGGGCTAGGCTGACCAAAAAAGAACTACCCTAGGACGCAAGGAGAGAAGACAAAACCCCTGATTATCATGATTATTTTTTCTTTTCTCTCTTTTTTCTTCTTTCTCTCTTTTCCTCCCCATCTTTTTCTCTCTTTTCTCTTTCAGATTTAGCTGCGAGCTGTTTATTTATGGCTGGAAATGTGTGTGTGAAAGAAAGAATTGATCTTTCCCCGGATTTAAAGATGGAGCAAAGGGCGCTGGAGGGAATTTTTGTTTGCTTATTTTGCTTAGACCCAGCTCACAAATTGGGCGTGATGGGGGGAGGGAGATGCCTGTTCCTCCCTCCACCCTTCACCTCACGACCTTCCTGGACCTCGAACCCCTCAGCAGCCTGGGCGGACCCGGACCCCGGAGGACTTGTCCAGCGGTCTGTTGGCTCGCCTGCTCCGAAGTGGGCTGCAGAAGAGGGCTTCACAGAGGGGGCCACCCCTGCCCCTTCTCTTTATATGAGTCCAATAAAAGGTATCACCTGCGACATGTCTTCTTGATTAATTTTTCTTAGTATGCATGAGTATGTGTGTGTGTTTTTAGGGAAGCAGGTTGTGGTTGAGTTTTAAGAGAATAAAATGAGGTTTTCCTATTTCACCTCTTTTCTTTCTCATTTAAAATTATGCAGATTGATTTTTTTCCCTCCCTCCTAGGGGGCAATCCTAGGATGCGAACCTGATCGGATGTCAAAGAGGCAACTTGCCATGAAATCCGCTAACGCACCGCGACTCACCGGGGTAAGCATATCTAACAAGAGCATGCGAGGGGAAAGAGACTTGGGGAAGAGCTCAAGGCGACGGTGATCAGAAAGGCTAGTGAAAGGGAGCGGTGACATTTGGCACCCAGCTGAGTTTAGTGGACATGCAAACAAGGTTTAAAGCTCTGCAGAGGTCAGCAGCCGCGTCATGAGCTCAGAAAGCTGAGTTGGAGCTCCTACCCAGCGGCAGTCAGTTTGCTGCTCCTGCAACTGACAATTTCTCTGCTTTCGAGTTTGAAGTAGCAACTGAGCGCAGGAAGGGCTAGCGTAGCCAGTGTGTGCGTAACGTACACGGAGCTCTACCATCGAATGAACAGCGGATGCATACTTGTATATTTTAGTGTCTAATTCTAGCATGAGAAATAGTACTCAATACAAATGCACCTGCACTTTAGAAATGTAGAGAGCTAGATTAAATTTCGGAGCACAAATTACCATATGCGAATTTGTTATATCTCTATGCTAATCCAGGGAGACGAAATTCCCCCAGTTCCTTTGATTGCATAGTCTTTCTCCCCACCAACTGTAGCCCCTTAATATTTTTAGGATTTGGTTATCTAACGAAGCAGATGTTTGTTTTCTCCGGTGCTTTCAATGAGCGCTATAAACAGTTGTCGAATGTTATTCATGCGGCAGCTAATTTCGTGTTTATTTTTTTAAGGACAAATATAGATAGATTTGCTTCCACTGAGGAGGGGTGGGGGGCAGAGCGGAGGGGATAGAGGGATTTAAACCGTAGAAACCAGTAAAACACTGATTTGTAACTCGTTCTTCGACTATTTGCCTCAGCAGCTTGGCACAATGAAACAGGTTTGGTGTGTGATGTTTTGTGGTGTCTCATTTTATACACCGCTCTTCTGAATAGTTTTTTTTCTGTCTTTTTGTTTTTCCTTTTCAGTTTTAGTGTCTAAAAATAAAACGCATAAAACCAGAAAGAAGGATTCTCAGATGAGTCCTTGGGAAATGTCCCAAGGACCAGATGTGTGTTGTGTGTTCTTGCGCATCTAGCTAGAGAAAAGAGGCAAATACAAAGGCACGTAGATTCCCGTATATATGTATGTAATACAAATGACATACCGTATGCACGACTCGAATTGAACAGATGAAACAAATGTGGACGTAACTGGAGATGGAAGGTAGAGAAGGATGGGCCGCAGAGAGATATTATTATTCTAGGAAACGGGAGTTTAAGGCCTGAACTTTACAGAGTGAAATGTCTGTGTAGGTCCAATTCCTCGGAATTCAGTTCACTACTTCTGGGCCTGTGTAGGTAGTCAAAGGGTACCTGCCTACCCAGGCATTTTATGCAAGGGAGATTCCTTGTTTGATAGGATGTGTCAGGGTTTTGTTTTTGTTTTGTTTTAATTTTGCAGTTACAAAGAGTTTAGCGACCCTTACTCCAAATAGAAAACAATAGTAATAAAAGGAAGAAAACTGTTGTCTTTAAATTATCATAATCATTGTGTTCTTTTTTTTAATAGCCAGTTGATTTTATTTTAATAACAATATCAGATCAACACTAAGAGAAAATGTTAATCCAGGAAAACCAGAGAAGGTCTTTGTGGGCAGACAGATTTTCTTCTACTCAGCGTCTGATGGTATTTGGCGCTTGTAGATATTGCTTTAGTTTTGTTGAATGGCTACAATTCACTTCTTAAAACAGTAACTGAAGATGTAAGTAAAAGTGTTTTCATTTTTTATTGATCCTGCTTACATCTTTCATTATCCAACATGTAGCCACAGCAAATTAGCACTCATCTGATACAGAGAACTCTATTGGCAATTGTATTCATTGGAGAGAGAAGTCTAAATACTGGGCTTTCTCTGCACTTAGTAAGAACTGATAATGAAGGTTAGACATCACTAAAAACTAAATAAATGAAATCTTCTCTCTCCAGGAATTGGTGGTGACGTATTCATTACATTCAGACATGTGGATATGCATAAAGATTGGCACTTCTACGTGAGTTGGCTTGCCCTCTTGGGCTTTAAAGATTCGACCACTTTGGAGAAGACCTGCCCACTTGAATTGGGTCTATTTGGTTTCACTGGCCTAGGTTAGTTTAGGGAACCTGATTTCAGTCCCTAGCAAAGGTAGGGAGAACAGAAATGACCTATAACTCTTGACCAACAATAATACAACAATCAAGTCTACATCAGCAAAGTGAAAAACCTAAGGCCTTTATTTGCTAGGATAATTAAATCCAGTCAAACCACTTAATACATTTTATTCATTTAATTGATTTGGGAAGGGGAAGTTTTTTGTTTGTTTGTTTGTTTTGCATGAGTTGTCCTTATAATTGTCTAAATTGCCCTACATTGAGATCCCTAGTCCAGTTAAGGAGACTGCATGGGTTAAAGTAGGAGATCTGGCCTCTTTCCCCAGAACACTCAGTAAGCTGTGAGACTTTGGACAAGTCACATAATCTTTCTGGGTCCAATTTTCCTTATCTGTGTCAAAAGAGAGGGTAAGATTAGATAATATCTGGTCCCTTGAAGTTCTAAAAGTCTACTTTTTTATTTCTGTGAAACCAGGTAATAGAGAAGTTAGAATAGGAAGGAGGGAAGTTCCTATACATTTGTTTTGTTTTTAAGCAGTAAAGGTTGTGGGGTTCAAACTGGGCAACCACGAAAATATGGTAGCCTTTTTTGTGCAGGACCACTCAACAAATGGGCAACTTTGCCAGAAAGGATTCTTTCTGCCCTACAGGCAACCTGAACTTTGACACATTCTCTGCTCTGGAGCTGGCCCAGGGCTTTGTGAGAGAATCAGAAAGCCAAGCAGAGAAACTGGGAGAAAAAACCAAAGTAAACCACCCTAGGGAAAAAAGCTGGGGGGCAGTGCCTGCCTTGTCTCCCTAAGAGAGTTGGTGTGCTATTTATGATCCAGTTCAGGGAAGAAGTATAGAATAAATGAAGTACAGAATAAATGCCTTTGACTCTTGGCAGTAAGTGGAAAGAGAACTAACCCACACTCTTCTCTGTGCTTCCCTTTCCCAAGCCCTTCACAGTCAGCTCCCACAAACTATTTCCCAAGGCTAGAGCCAGGACTGGTTAGATTCCCTCTTCCAGAAAAGAAAAAGTCTCATTTCCTCCCCTCTGAAGATTCTCTAATTCTCTGAAGATTCTCTGCTCTCGAAAGTTTGCCAAGGTGCTCTATTGGGGACCAAACCTGGAGAAAGTGCTCTGCTAAGTTCCCTTAAGACCTAGCATAGATTGGGCAGGTGACGTGGCCATTACTTTAAAAGTAATTAAGAAGAAGAGCCTACATTCCAGGGGAATTTTAAAGGGCAAATGGAACCAAGCAAAGAGTATCAATGAGCTGCCCCCCAGGGGGCACCAAAGCCCCTCCTTCACTTTGGGGGGGAGTGGGCTGTTTAGGTTTTTTGGTTTTCTATTGCTGTTGTTTGTTTGTTTGTTTGTTTGAACATTCCCCAACCCATAAAGTGATGTCTGCCTCTTGGTAAACCAAATACACAACTTTATTGTTCATTTTGCTTTGTTCTTTTTTCATTAATGTGATTGTGGCATTTTCACACACTCTCTGGTCATGCATTTCCAGGAGGTTGGGGGCCCACTAGGGACTCTATGCTGTCTTTTGTTTGAACAGACGATACAGGTGATCCATGATCCTTTGACTTTCATGTTGTTTTGCCTCTTGTGGTGATAATAGATCTTAGATGAACCAGCCGCATTGTCTCTTGCATAAGGTCTCTTCATGACCATGCATTTGCCATACTATAGTCACCCCAGTAGGGGTGCGCATTGTGGCCATAAAGCAAAGCTAATCTTGTGAATCTGTGTATACCTGATCATCGGATAGAAAACTTTAGCCTTGTGGGCACTGTGAGCTACCCAATTCAGAGAACTTCCAGTAAAAGTTGTTGAAGTAGGGGTGTGTGGGTCTTTGTGTCTGTATGTTTTCTTTTGGTCCAGACTTTTGATTTCATCTGTGTGGGAACTCTCTCCACTTAATAAGACAACTCATCTTCGGCTTGTAGTCTTAGAGGAGTGCCTGGCACATTGAGAAGTTGTCTGACTTGTTCATGATCACCCAACAAGTGTGTGTCAGAGTCAAGACTTGAATCTTGTCTTCCTGACCAGAGAGATGGCCCTCTACCCACTATCCCACACTGCCTCTTTGGTGTTTCTAGATAAGAGGCAGAAATAGATCTTTAAGAAAGGGATACATTATAGAAGCTACTGACAGGTGTGATTGTATTTACTGTAGTCATTTATGTAAATTCACTTATTTATGTGAGCATGTATAGAATACAGATTAAACACATTCATGGAAGCTATTTGTGAAACTAACCACAGCTTCTTGAATCCAGCCTAAAATAAGCAAAACCTCCTGTCTACTACTAACCAGACCTTTGTTCCTGGTCAATGGGTGTTTTTATATTGGAGTCTGAAGAGCTTCATGAAGCCTTTGAAGGAAGGTACATGTGTTTGCAAGGGAACCTTGATAGTTAGGGAGAGGCTGCTTGAATTTCAGGTGAAGATTCTGCAGTTTAGGATTGTGAGACTATTGAAAAAATTTCCTGGGATTTTTCCTGCCATAGAGATAGAGAACCGAGGACTTGGGGAAAGGGTAACAGAAGGCCACAGGAATCCGAGACTTGTGAGATCAGTTTCTTCACACCCGAAGGCTGCAAGGGCTAGCAAACTTTTGAAAACCCAGGCAATCATATTAGCCATGGAAATGGGGAAATGGGGTATTTCTATCACAAAGAGTGATAGAAATACCCACCAGGCAAGATTTCTTCAAAAATAAGTCCCACAACAAACGAAGGAGTTTGGACACACTCCACACCTGCTGCCAAACTTTGGAGTTTTACAAACTTTTGCCCTCACCGTTGTTTCCAACCAAATGACCACCAAGGAGACAGAGGACCACATTCAGAGTGTTTTTCTAACCACCCCTCCTTGGCCCACTGGTTTTTCCAAGCAAATTGAACGAGCTGAGTTCTTTATTAAATTATTTTTTCCAGTCTTCTGTCTTTTTATGAAAATAAAAGACAACACTTTGTCATTTTTAATCATATAAGCGGACAATAAATCTAATTTTGATATTGATTTTTTTTCCTAGAATCAAGTGATTTTTGCAGTGTCTGTTGTGTTTACTTTGACCAATAAGAGCCGTTTTCAAGGAGATTATGTAGCATTGGGGCTTTGTCTATATTGACAAAATGAAGCCCCGGCGCTGAACAATTATCAGAAACATTTACTTGATCTGTGTGGACAACCAAGGTGAATGATTTCGAGGAGAGGAAACCGCTTTTTTCTGCAGGAGCAGGTTGTGTGTGGGCGTGTGTTTGCGTGAATTACCGGGTTAATTACTTCGGATGGATAATCACTTCAGTATGCCCATCGGAAAATTCCATAATTCCTTGGTTCAGAAGTGGCTGGTGCTAACACCTACTATAGTGAAGGGCAGTTCTTTTGTTTAAAAAACAAATAATTCTCTTTATATAATCAGACATTAAAAACCCACAATGTAGTTGAGTGTTTGGGGATTGCAGAACAAAGCAGTAGTAGACTGCTTTGGAACGCAGAGCTCTCCAGCCCCTAATAAAGTTCTTCTGGAACAAATGTGCCAGATCTTCCACCTGAGGCAGGAATTCAAGAACGCTGCAGGCAAAACTGACAGATCACCATTGAATTTGGGCAGCCTACAAGGCTTTCCAAGAACTTCTTGAGTAGCTCCCCTCACTATCCCCAGTTCTCTCTCCCCTCCTCTCAAAGAACGCTGGGGTTTTTTGGATCTCAAAAAGATCTCTTTGAAATCTCGAAGGCTTCCTATCACACACACACACACACACACACACACACACACACACAATTACGGCAGTCTAACAAACCCAACACTCAGACAAAAATCTTGTTTGTCCAAATTTGGGAAGGGAGGGAGTGCAAATGCCCTATTTTTTTTTTTTAAAGCCTGAGGTTTCTATTTTTCCAATGATCCAGCTAGCCAGATCTTTCACTATAGCACAGTCCTTGGTGTACCTCTCCTTCAGGCTGAAAACCAGGGCAATTAACACACCTTCTGTATGGGTTTTTAAAGAAATTAAATAAAATAAAACAAAACTTTTTCATGAATTTTAAAGGGTCAGAGGGTAGAACTAACCAATTCTGCCTGACTGAAACGTCCTGAGGCCAAATGTTGACCAGTTGTGTCCATCAATCAACTCCCACGACCACCAAGGCCATCCAGTGCCTTTAACTGCAAGGGTTTGTTTTTGTTTGTTTGTTTGTTTGTTTTGGGGGTTTTGTTTTGTTTTGTTTTCGGGGGCGGGGATATTCGGTTTGTTTTGTTTGTTTTTCGATCGTTTTGTTTGTTTCTGTGGGAGGAGAGGGAATGAGTGACATTTCTTCCCAAATCCAACTTGGTTGGTGGAGGGATGGGAGGAAAGAAATAGTGAACCATTTTCCAAAGTTGGTGAATACATTCAAGTCCATCTAAAAGGAGAACCCTAGGGACCAGGATGCGAGGCTACTGGGGTCCAAGGCACGGCGGGGGGAGGGGACCGGGCAATGATATGGAGAGCCAGAAAGCAAGCGGTGAAGGGAGCTCAGGGGCCGCTGATGACCCCCTGGGTCTGACCTTTCCTGCTGCTCCTCTGGGGTCATGATTTAACTCTTCACTCTCCACAGGCCGACTGCTTAGCAGCCCTAAGCCCTCCGGGAGGATATTGGGTCGATATCTGGGGGCAGCCTTCGAGGGCAGAGGGCAAAGGAGTAGCTTCTCCATATAGGGAGCGAGGGGTCTCTGGTTGCCAGAAAGAGAAGAGAGTCCTGGATCTGATGAAATGGTCGAACCTTGCTCAGCGGAAGGAGCCAAGGCATGTGGGGAGGAAACCAGAAAAGATAAGACTGGGAAAGTCGGATCCGAGCTGCCAGGGTCCCAATTTAGCCTGGATCCTTGAAAGTGACCTCCTACATGAGGGAAGTAGGCCAGCGTGGTGGTTGAGCCCTGAGGAGGTTACCTCTCAATTTTTCTCCCTTTTTTTTACAACGGAGCTTCTTATATCTATTTGTCCAACTACTAACAGTGCCCGCCCCTCCATCCACCACCCCCAAAAAAACACCCTCACAACTCTCCTGGGCTGAGCAGGCAGCAAGAACTGGAAAGGCAGTGAGGAGGATATTAAAGTCAGGG